AAAAGGTTTCCTTGCAGAGACGGTAGTACGCACCTCCTCCACCACCGCCGAGCCGACGGTATGAACAGAAGACTCTTCGGAAGCCCGAACTTACCGCCCCGGCCAGATTCCTAGTCCCCCCCTCTGTGCTCAGTGGTTCGGTCCGATGACCCCTCCGTCACCACTGTGGCCTCTACTGTTTTCTATGGTGTTAGGGGAGGCAGGAGGAACCAATGAACGCAGCGGGGGTGAAGGAGATCAACCCTCCCGGACGTGTTGGGTTCTGAAGAGCCTTCGGGCGGCACTGAGATGGGTGGTAGGGTTGCCACCTTTTCTTCAAGCGAAACCCGAACACTCTAGTAGCCCCTATCTTAATTTTGGTTGCCCCCTGTCTGCCTGACATCTTGTGTCCGGGTTCCTGCTGCCATGACACCCGGACACGGCATTCATAACCCGGACTGTGCGGGTGAATCCTGGACAGGTGGCAACCCTAATGGGTGGCAGGGGAGTTGTTGTTTTTTATAATTGTACACTAAATAAAAGAGATGACAGCAGTGTGCTCCGACTTTACATCTGTAGGGCCGGAATCAGCGGCTATTAAAATGCTTCAATCAATGAACACACAGATGGAATGCAGGAGGTCGGATCTTCTTCAAACTCTCTCACAGGAAAAGTGACCGGCGTCTCCTCTCATAGACTGACGGCCGATCACATCAGTCCAGTGTTAGCCGTTTAATGATTGTTTACTCATGTGGTGGGTCTGGTTTTGAAGAAGAGCCTCGGGGGGGACGGCACAGAATGCTCTTCCTCTCCTATTCATCACCCAACTGGAAACCCTGTGGTGGTGGCGCCATCTCCTTGTTAGATTGCGAGGAGGGATACGGGGGACCCTGGCGCAGGTCGGTGGTGACCAGCGCTGAGATATAATAATAGGCACAGGCCCCGATCCATCAGCACCCCGAATCCCCTGCTCATCCTGGGGCTGTGGGGGAGCAATGTATCCACGGATGAAAGAATCCAAACCCGGCCAACAGAATTATTTCTGGAGGTCCATCAGCCGATCCTGCGGAACCAGAGAGAGACGGGAGACCACCGTCATTATGATCTACACCACATGGTTCCAGGAGCCGGATCAGATTGGAGGCTGACAGGCCGGCTACACCTGCCGGGGTCCAGCAACAAAGGTCTTATGTCTATAGCAGTGGTTCTCAACCGGTGTAACCTCAGGAGCCAGATTTGTATGCCCCATAGAGGTGCCGGGAGCCAGAATGTGACGTCACTCCGGTCCAGGCACCACGACAGGACACGTGAGGGAGCTGTGTGCAATGCATGTATGGAGCTCACTGCTGCGCTCTCTCCTTGTGCAGGGTGACTGGTCTTGTCTCCGCCCACTCCTGTAATAAAGACCGCTCACTGCTGGTGACCGGTCTCGTCTCCGCCCCCTCATGTAATAAAGACCGCTCACTGGTGCTCTCTCTTCTTGTGCAGGGTGACTGGTCTCGTCTCCGCCCACTCCTGTAATAAAGACCGATCACTGGTGCTCTCTCTCCTTGTGCAGGGTGACTGGTCTTGTCTCCACCCCCTCCTGTAATAAAGACCGCTCACTGCTGGTGACCGGTCTCGTCTCCGCCCCCTCATGTAATAAAGACCGCTCACTGGTGCTCTCTCTTCTTGTGCAGGGTGACTGGTCTCGTCTCCGCCCACTCCTATAATAAAGACCGATCACTGGTGCTCTCTCTCCTTGTGCAGGGTGACTGGTCTTGTCTCCGCCCCCTCCTGTAATATAAACAAGTCACTGCTGCTCCCTCCCCTTGTGCAAGCTGACCGGTCTTGTCTCCGCCCACTCAGGGTACGATGATATCTGCTGGTGCATCTGCATTTTGGCCGCCTCACCTCCGGGACGATGTAACAAAAACACGAAGCATCGGGCCGCTGTTCAAACATTTATTATTATTTTTTCTTTAAATAGTGTTTTTTTGTTTGTTTCTCTCTTTATAAAACAAATCTCTTCATTTCACAGATTATTAGCAAAGGAAACTCATTCGCTCTCCGAACACGTCTTTGGCAATTGGTTGTCCATATAACGCGGCTTCTCTGGTGACGTCTGGTACAAAATATTCCGTTTACAGAAATAGAAGCGTTTCTATATTTATATATAATCACTGGAGGGTCCCAAAAAAGTATTAAATAACAATAAAAAAAAAGAAGAAAAGAAACAAAGTAACATTTTATCAAACACTCGCTCTCTCACACAAACCTGACACATGGCGAGTGCAATATTTTGTTGTTGTTTTTGAGTAGATCCTACAGCCCC